AGATTGACTCATTCTGAACAATGAACAGTCCTTGGAGCTGATAGCTCACTGACGGGTTTCACTGACTGGAGACTGACCCCCCAGAAGCTCCCACAGCAGCTGCCAAGATTTCTGGAATTGATACTAGAACAAGAATTTTTCAAACTGCTCTTCCAAATCGGATTAAATATATTATGATCTGATCTGATCTGATCACTATTCTTGTACATTCTTAAAATATTGCTATTTTAATGCATGCATATGCAGGTAGATTGGTCGTTTCTTTGTTTTTATTCTTGATATTAATTCAGTTCACAGTTGCCAGTCAGTAAGTTGGGACTGAAGCCAACAAATTGGAAAGTAGTTGTAATGAGTAAACAGGATACTGTGCCGCTTCTTTGAGCAAAATAATTGATCCTCATGTTATTTCTACCATCTCTTAAGGGAAGAAACAGAATCCCAGAAGAAGCATAAAATATTGTTTGGATTCCCTTAATCCTGCCTAGTTTATTTACAATTTCCTCCTTCATCCTTCCTGCCTGTCCAGATGGTTTTTTCTCTTTGTTTCCCAGTCTGAATTATGCTCACTGCCTTTAAGATGCTAAATACTTCAACAGCCTTCCACTTTATTAGTTCCTCACAAACAGAAGCCATAAACTCTTACCTTTGCCGAATTATGCTGGGATTAGCTGTCACCAAATGACTTTTGGATCCAACATCTTTAGTGTATTCACTTGACAAGGGAGGAAGATTGCATCTAGAGAAACAAGAACAAACGTTTTTAAATGACTTGCATATTTTTAAATCAAATCAGTTATAATGACACAACAGGAACTTTATTCATTCTAGCTCAATTCACAAAGAACTGTTTTTACCACCTCTCCCTTTTAATAAACATTAGATGACTAATTAACCATCAGCATCTTCAAAATGCTGTCATAAAAAAACAGTCCTATTTTAGAAGAAGAAAGAAAATGTCAGCCAGAGAGAGGTAAATGAAAGGAAAGAGACAGTAAGTAGAATGTATTTATTCCATTCAAAATATTTTTGAGGTGTTTAGGAAAGGAAGTATTAGATCTGTAATTAGAGATCAGGAGGGTGTGGTACACCAGAGGACATAGGACCTACAGTGTTCTCTGCATGCCCATAAACCTCAAGGGGCAGGGAGGAATTATATTTGCTTGTGTTTTTCTTTCTTTTCCTCAAATCTAAATTATAATAGTATATTCAGGATGATATACTGTTCACTTAAATCAGTGCATGTCTGACTTTTGTGTATTTGGCCAGTGCATAGGTTGATTACTGATGAAGACATAATAATTTGTCATCCAAAGAAGTGCATGATTCTCCACCACCCCAGTTCAGCCACGTGAAAGACTGCAGGTGATGTTTTCCTGGTGATGGAAATAGCTACTCTACCCTCACCCCAAACACCACCCCCAGCCCTGCTGCTTTCCTCTGCCACAACGTTTTATCGACATTTACAATCAGAAATATGGCCACTGCAAATCCAAATCCCTAGGCATTCTACCTGTGGGACATTAAGCGAATTAATACATTTTCCTGGCCATAGTTCCCCCATTACATAAAATAAAGATAATGATTTTTCCTCTCTTACTGGATTGTTCTCAGCATTAAAAAAAGTAATGTGTGGGCAGGCCCCGTGGTGCACTCGGGAGAGTGCGGCGCTGGGAGTGCAGCGTCGCTCCCGCCACGGGTTCGGATCCTATATAGGACTGGCCGGTGCGCTCACTGGC